GTTGAACATGAAAATTATTACAGATACTGACTTTTTCCAAACCTGTCTTAAAATGGCTTATAAGACCTTAAAGTCATTTCTCTCCCTCCTCAGTTAAATGGCTAGGAGAGAGATTTCCTCTCAGGTCTCTTAATACCTTTCACCCAGCTGCCACCTTATTTGTCTTTTGAGTGCTGGGCATCTGTCAGGTCACAGTGTAAGAGCTTTGCCCTCTGTCTGCAGGAGAGGTGCTTCTGCACAGTCCCTCAGCACGAGGGGGAAGAGCTCACAGCAGCATCAATCCACTGGCTTTAAAAGCTTTCCTTCAAGCTCTCAGAGAAAGCATCCATATACTTACAGCAAGTTTTATGCGGGGTACCAAAACTTAAAGGAGTGATTAGTGGATGTCAGCCACCACCAGCCACTGTCAGGGTTACTGAGGTCACAGACAGGAAAGCATCTGAGCTGTTACAGGGATTAAATAAATGGGGTACAAATTGTTGTTAAAGAAGGGCTGATGGGTCCTGAACAAATCCAGTGGCTGCAGCAGTGCTTGGCTGGGAAAGCAAGGCTTGCAGCAATGCTCTGAATAAACAGGAACAAAATGGAGGTCCTTGGATCCACACCTGATCATTACTTTCACCACAGCCAACACCTGTACAGAAAGAAAGAAAGAAGAAAAATCCACAAAACCCTGTATTGAAAAATCCACAAAAATCAGCAATTCAGTTCAATCAAAGATTTAAGTTAACATAAAACTAGTTCTTGAGGACATAAATATTCTCCTCTTCTTGTGCAGCCTATTAACAGCCCAGCTCTGCTATTACTAAAAGGGCTAATACAACAAACTACTAAAGCAACAGCACTAGGACTGCTTGTATGTTTCTCATTCCATTACCAATTACTATAGACAACAGGTTACAGAAAGATCTTACACAATTCAAATGGATTCATCTCTATGCACCAGAGGCTTCTAGGAATAACAGATAAAAACATGATTTATTACATTGTACAAAACTGGATTCAGAATAAGCAAGTGCAGAATATGGTACATGATTTATTTTTTCTGTACATTACATATTGTTAAATTTCACTGACAAATCCAAAACTTTCACAATTTTTCCTTTACCTGCTTAAGCCAAGCAATTTATTTTGTTCTACAGGACAGAAAAAAAAATAGCTTCCTGGAGAATTTATCATCTAATTAACTTGGCAGAAGGTGCTCCAGCTCAGACTGACTTTCAGTGTTTCCCATAGCTTGTCAGGTTAGAACCTCAGTTGGTAGCACAGTGCTCTGCCACTGTACCAGTCTAGGAACAAGCAACTCCATCCTAATTAAATTTCAATAATGTCTTCTTCTTAGAAGATGAAATTAATGCAGTTGCACTTGTAGACATTCCAAACAGTATAAATGAAGGCTGTAGCTACCATCAGAAAGATTTCCAGTAGCCCCAGATTGGTCTCATGAGTTCTGCAAGATGTGCTAAGATAGGTTAAATGTTTAATAAAGTCCTTAAGAAAAATAAATATTTTTGCATAATGTATGTACAAAACTTGGTTGATTTCCTTCATTCATGTAGGTTCAACAGCAGATATAACCACAGTTATATTTTACTCACTAGCTCCTAATAACAAATGCCACCTTCGTAACGCAGTAAGAGTCTAAGAGAATATTGGCCTGTTCTTTATAATAGTGCAAATTATATGGAGGTGTTTTGAAAACCATGGCTTATTGAAAGAAGGATTAACAAAAAACCCCCTCCTTTGGTCCCTGCAAGAGTAGTTTAATTCTTCCATGAAATTTTCAAAACTCCCCTACATAATTTTAACCAACTATTAAGGCGTCAAAAGCACAGATTTAAAGTTGAGATTAAAATGATCTTTCTTGGACTTGAAAAAAAAGTCCACTGGAGATTTCCTGACAACGAAATTTTCTTAATGTTTCTCCTTTCCTCCTTGCTATTCTGCACAAAAACAATATGCCAAATGAACCTCTCTGATAATCTCCCCCATATATTTATTTAAACTACAATAAAACATTACACTTAAATATATTGCACAAAAAGCATAACATATCCTGCCTGACTCTTCACAAAAATGGCCACAAACACAGGAGAACAGCTACTGAACATCTCAGAATTTGAAGAGATCAATAAAATGCTGAGGAGATACTGGCATGAGACAGGTGTTTGGGTCACTGGCTGTGCAGGGGTGTCCTGTATCCTGAGAAATGAAGGAGAAAAAGAAGTAAGTTCTCTTTCTATATTCAGTCTCCCTTCACCCCCAATTTAGAGAAAAAAAAACTCAAAACAAAACAATAAAAAAACCAAACCCAAAACAATTCTCTCCTTCTACCAGAACCTGAGCCAGAGCCCTTAAAATGTATCATCTTCCTTATTCGTTATTTTTTGATAAGCATAACAAAAAGGCAAAAAGGCACCAGCTTTATTGAACCTAAATTATCTATTTAATCAAAACCTGAAGTCATCTACTGCTTTGGGGGAAAATGAGTCCCTTCCTTTGAAAATGATGGGCAGCAGATATTTCCTCAAAAAACCTGAACAGTATGTTTGAATTCCCAGTCTTAAAAGCTTTTCTACCTTGCTACATTTTTCCCCTAATCTTTATCTTTCATGCCCATGTTTCCCCCAAGTGAAATGAAAGCACTGCCTTAAAACAGAAGTTGGCACCTAGGCAAGGTAGGAATAGAGAAGTAAGACAGAATGGAAAGGTTTTGTCATTACAAATGCACTAAGCCTGCAGTGCTTTCTTTCCTCTTCCAGAAATTTGACCTCAGCAGACCTGTCCAATTACTTAAGATTCAAATTCTTCTTTAAACAAAAAGTTTTGGTTTGCACCTTATTAAAACCCCCTAAATGAGGGAAATGCAGAGGTGTAATGAGAAGTTCCCAGATAGTTCAATGGAGAAGTTAAAAAAACTTGTCAGTGTTATTGTAAGGCTCAGAAGTGTCCTCACCAGGCTTTAAGGAGTTTCTGTCCCTTTTCCACCAATGCTGGTGAATGCACCACATGAGGCAAGAAAACTAAATAAATACATGACAAAGAGATTACAGACTACTATGGTCCTCATTGCTTTTGTTTCCACAGGGAATGAAATTACATGCAATTCAGTTAATAGAAGGAAAAAACCTTTAAGTGATTTTTTTTCTCACTGCCACATTCCTACCCAAAGTCTTTGCAGCACCAAAATGCACCAGGTGAAATATATTCTAAATACTGCTCAGCTTTTCCAGTGAAAATTGTTACCCACCAGATTTATTATCTGTGTTTTCCCATGAAGTCTGTGGAGGACTATAAGAATACACCAGGAGGTATCACCTCCTCATCTCCCACTCTTTTTAATAATTGCTTTAACATCACCTGAGAAACAGTTTATAGACTCATGACACAGAGGGAAAGACAAACACACACATTAAAAAAAGAGACCCAGTTTTACACTGCCTATTGGGGGAATCTGCAGATGAGAAAGAACAGATGACCAAGACCAAAATCAGAAGTGTTAAACTTAACACCTTCATCTTGAGATGACATCTGCAAGGAAGATCTGCACCACTCCAGAAAACACTTAAAGGTAGTTGCTAATGGACAATTATCTTCTCTATCCATTGCCATGTCAATGTCATGTCATTACATTCCTAGTTTCCAGGAAAAAACACCACCAGAATTTAAATTCTGTGAAACAAGGTAGGGTTTATCCTCTTTCTTCTTTGTATTCCTGAATATTTTAAACTGAGTTTGTAACATGCTGCTTTTTCTGCATATCATTATAAAAGCATTTTTGAAACTTCTACCCAGTCGGGAATTACAGGTGCAATAAAAATCTCAGAGATCAGTTACTGGTGTTTTTAGTTATTGAAAACAATATAAATTTTACAGTGAAAAAAGTGGTGAGGACCAAAAAGAAGACTCACAGCTTTCTTTTAATTATGAATATTCCTCATTTTGAGAGAAATACATTTTCATGGGAATAATGAACTAAATAATAAAGTAAAAACACTTAATAAAGTGTTAAAATAATTTGATTTCAAAGTTTCAAAGCTAAGGCAGACTTCTTTCAAAGTAAGAAGAAAATTCCCCAGGAGGAGTGTTTACTGGCAAATGTAGTCGTTTTCCCCAAAATCTAGCATAGCTAGACATTAAGAAGCTCTGTAAAAGTATTTTCACCATTTCTTCATTCAGAAGGCAACAATATAATTGCTTCCCTTGACTACCTCAAGTCACATGCAGCCTGTTTTAGGGAATTTCTTTTCAGAGAAATTCTCCATAAAAGTAAATATGACTACAGCATTCCAAGTGCAATAAAATCAATTTTCGTACCTTTGTATTAAAGTTATCTGAGGTACATGTTACTCTTCAGATTTAAGTACTGAATTAAATACATCAGGGAATGCAGAAAACAGTTTACAATAACACTGAGTGCAGAGAAACCTATTTCTTAGCAAAATCTGTCTGATCTCACTAGCACCTGAGCTCATTAGAAATTGAATTATGGCTCCTAGTTTAAATGGCATTAAGAGGGAATACGGCAATAATAAAATACAAAATTATGAAAAGCTGAGATGGGAAGTCATCACTACCTTTATCTAAAAGAGAACAAGAAAACTATTCCTGCTGCTGAACTGATGTGCAGAAAGAAAAATCAAAACAAAGAGCATCAGACAATTAGAAAGGAACACATTATTCACTTTGACATTATGGAACAGTCAGCAATGAAAACAGATGAGACACAAGAAATACCTGGAGTAACAAAGCAAGGTGGTAGTCCTTTGAAATCGTGAAGAAGGAAGCAGGAAGGAGAGCCATAAAGTAAAAGAAGCAGAGTTAAGGTTTATTTAAGCCAAGGTTGATAAGCCATTAATTCTTGTGGCAAATCACAAGCAGCTTTGTGAGAACCAAAATCAGCCCAAGTGGCAAGAAGACTATAACCGAGTGTTATGTGAAGTGATTACACTGTTTTCATAAAGCCCTGGAAACTGAAAGAAGAAAAGATATTTCAGCTTCTGTGGCCATGTCTGATATAACCTAAAAGTGCTACTAAATAAGCTCAGGAAAATAAAAGAGCCTGCCACAACTGCAGTGGTGCCTATTGGAACAGAGGCAATAGTGTACATGAAAGCACTCACAGAGACATAGCACAATAATTAGTCATTTCTTTTGCATTACTGAAATTATGTGTTTTTTTTCAGTTTCATCATGGACAAATCCTTTAGCAAGAAGTTATTTTGAAAAGAGATGTTCAGTATGAAAATTTTCCTATGACTCCCTCCTAACACAGAAGAGTTCAAAAGTCACTGTACTTCCAACAAAGAACTTAGGAGACTCCTATGTGCTATATATAAATTGACTTCGGTTACAGGTTTTAGACAAGGAATACAAATGCCTCTTCCTGAAAAAATCTTAAACATTTGTTAAAAACCCATTATGATTATTATAGTATACTGAAAAAGTGAAAAGTAATTTCCCTACTTCAACAGTTCAATAGATAATTCAATTCAGTGGCCATCAGTTCCTGCTTTTGCAAGGCCTTCTTTGAAAAGAACACAAAACAGAGGGCTCCAAGAATTTTCTTTGAGTAGCTCTTTCACATTGTCAGCAATTACATTATATTATCAATTTCATAAAATTCTTCTCATCACTAGCTAGTCCTGTGCTTTTGGGCTGTATCAGACCCTTGTGGCTTTGATTCTTAGAAACTCCTAATTCTCAGCATGCTTACCCAAAACTACAATTTACTTGCATCAAGGATGTCCCTTAGTGTAAATAATTTCCATTCTCTGTTTCCAAAAAGAATTTATGGAGAGCAGTCAGTTCCTTGTTAGCATAACTGAGTTAAGATAAATTAATCACTCCTAGTCTTCTTCATGCCCTGATTGCTTTAGCACTTTTTTCTCTGCAACTATTCCCATGTTTAATGAAAGAAGAAAAATAAAAATAGATGCCTTATGAAGAAGTGTTCAGCTCTGCCTGAAGTTCTTCTGAATACCTTGGAAACAAAAGTTGCCTGACTTCTGAATTGTACCATTAAACAAAGGAACAAAATTTTTACATGTTATCAGCTTTCTCAAGACTACAGTGCTTCCATTTGTTTCAAGATTCAAACACTTGTTACTTTTCCTCTGTAGTAATTGTGATTTCTCTTTTAGAATTTGGATTTGGTGGTAGTGTTTTTGTTGTTTTTTTTGCTTTGTTTATTTTCGATTTTTCTTCCTATGCATTACAGATATAATTGTATGCCAAGTACTCACACATTTAGTTTAAGAATTTTTCTAATCAAGGATAATACTGAAGCTTGAATACATTTTCAAAGCCTGACAACAATCAGAAGTTCTGATTAAGGAATACTTTCACCTAGAACAGGATTTATCTAGAATTAATAAAGTAGCTCCTGTCCCTTTGCCCCTCACCCCTGCTTTATTTCTCACCTCTCTTTAGCAAGCTTGGGAAAGGATACAGACACAAGTGTCTGAAAAAAAAGGCAGCACTATTTTTTTCCCCATATAACTGAGTGACAGCACTACTTGACCCACACTGCCCTGAAAAAAGAGGGACAGTATTTCAGATGTCCCTGCCAATAAGGGTGCCAATTATGCATAAATGAATTAATTTAACAATCCAATTCTGCCTGATCATCATTTATTTTAAGACAGAGACAAGGCTTAGTCACCAAGGCTAGAGAAGGAATACTGCAATGTCGGCTCACAGAATGATGAGGCTGAGAGGCACCTCAGCAGCCTCTAGGCACCTCTAGCCCAGCCTCCTGCTCAAAGCAGGCTAAGCTGTGAGATCAGAACAGTTTGCTCTGAGCTTCATCCAATCAGTTCCTGATCACATCCAAGGATGGAAACTTCATCAGCTCTATGGTCAAACTGTTCCCTTGCTTGGCTGTCCTCGTGGCAGGCTCATGTGTCCCCCTGAAGCAATCTTCTCCGCCACTCCTCACATGGCAAGTCCTCCAGCCTCCCTGATTATATCACCCTCACCTGAACTTCACCCAGCTTATCAGTACCTCCCCTGTGCTGGGGGCCTCATGGCTGCAGCATCCCAGATGGTCTAACGAGTGCTGCATGAAAAGGGATAATGGCTTTCCTCAATCTGCTGACTGTGCTCTTGTTGAAACAGCTGATCCCAAACACCTGCTCCAGTATTTTTGTGCAGAAGCACACAACCAATCTATAACTGCACTGTCACTTTAAGACCTGCCCAAATTTCTAGGATGAGGCAGCACTGGAATGGTGATCTAGGAGGTACTGCTCATCAGTCCAAAGTACCTTTATAAACTTCCTGTGCTGTGTTTCAAAGAATTTAAAAGTCCAGAATGAGCCCTATTACTCAGCAGTAGGTTCGAACAGCTGTCTTGTCACCTTGACTGCTATAACCTCCTACTGGAATACTACTGCAACCTGCACAGGCTCACTGCCTCTTACTGTCCCACCATCTCCAGAGTTTAACATTTAATTCCAAACACATTCAGAGTAATTCCTAATATTAGACATTTGTACTTTTTAATTATACTAAGATCAAAATGAGAGCCATTTAGTGTAGAGAGCATTAACTCTACACAGTGATGGCAGGCAATCCAGAGAAATCTCGTACCACAAACGCCCATCTAAATGCACCTTTGAAACTTCCCCTTTCAGAGAGAGGCTTTACCCTACATATTGAGCTACATGCTAAAGACTTATTCTACTGTAATGAAAGTTCTTAGTCATTCTTGATACAGATCCTTCAGAAAATGCCCAGGCTTTTCACAGTAGAAGCCAATTCTGGCTACCTGCTTCCCTACTATTAATTTTGCAAAACCTTACTACCTGGAAGGGCTCCCATGGTATCAAAAATACTCAACTTCAAGATCACATCATTAAGGAACATGCTATTTCTAGCAGGATTTCGCTTATTCTGCTAAACAGCCTAGGTTTTTTGAAGGAAAATTAAAAGGCCTCACACTGACATACAACTTCTCATAAAAATCACAGAAAGATGACACAAGAGCAACTAATTTATGTTATTTAGAATATGAGTAATATGAGTATTTTCTAAGATTTCTCAAACATTTCTTGCTCTTTGTTGTCCACTTGACAGTACCCATATCTGATCTTCCAGCTGTAAAATTAAAGAAGTGTCACTAACTAGAAGGCTCTGTTACAGTACAACACAGAGCAAAACAGGATTAAGTAATCACACACGTTAAAGAAGAGAATGCCCTACTGAAATTAAAATCATCCTGTAAGACAACATATGCCTTATGGTAAACCTCAAAACCAGGGTAAAACACACTCTGGAAGAAGTTTTAAACATTCCTCCAAGCTTCATATGGGACAGAAGCAAAAATATAAAAATACAGCGCTCTATAGCAATGTGGTAAGAAAAAATGTAGTAATTATTTCTCATTAGACATGTATTGACTACCATGGCATCATTAAAAACACTAAATTCAGACTAGTCCCTCACAACTTTCCATAAGAAGAAATTAATAAAAGTAGACAGAATAACTCTTTCCACATGACACTTTTCATTGCAATTCTAAGTATTGGGGTTATCAGATAGCAAGAAATAAGAAGTCAAGATTAAGAACAACTTCAGAATTTAACACAGATTTTACATGGAAGTTTTATATATTATTTTCAAGTTAGATATTATCTAATCACCTTTCACATGAGAAAACTGATAAGATGACCATAATATTTTTCCTTGCAGATGATCACCAGTAGCTGTTTGAACTTATTTCTGATTATCTGTTCCAAAGCTCTTACCTTCCAAAACAGAATACTACAGTGTCGACAGAAGTGCAAGGTGTCCCCGTACTGCTCCTTTATTGGGTAATATTTCTGAAGTGCAAAGTACATCAGCTTCCAGTCAATGTGACCTTTCTCTGATGGAATCAAATGCCTACAAAACTAGACATAAAATTAATATCTTCCTTTAAAATCGTTGTAGTCAATTCAGGCAAAGGACAGGGGAAGATGGCGGGGGAAGGTAGTTAAACTGAAGTTTTGTAACTAGAATTGTTTGAAGTCAATATTATGACATCATACATCTCTGCAAAGCAGTGACAGAGATCTGGCCACAAAAAAGATGGAAGGCAGACACTGAAAATAGGAGAGTGCATATTTGCCAAGAAAAACTAGGCCATACACAGCTATCTAATTCTACTGTCTCAAAATTATTCTAATTATAGTCAAGAAGCATTTAACAAAACAGTATTTAGAGTTGTAAGTAATTAATTTTATCCTTCTAAAAAAACCCAAACCACTCAGGAATGAGATTTAAAAACATGATTGTGCACTGCAGATAATGGTTTTCTGTTAAAGTAATATGGATTTAAATAAAGCTCTTTAATTTTAAAAACATACACATGTTTATTTTTTACATTTGCTTGTGATCTCTCTAGAAGGATAGCAATCATCAGTGATTGATGTACTTCTTGAGGACCTAATCTGCACGTAAAGATTAGCTGCTGTACAACAGCTATTTCTCCCCAGCTTGAGAGATAGACAAGGTTTATTAAGTATGTATTATAAAAGACTTCTGTTCCACTCAGTGTGGATTAATGCTAATACATTGAGTGCTTTCTTAATTCAGAAGACAATTCCTGAATGGGGAGAGAATAGAACTGCCTTTCTGATTTCAGCTACACTTTATTTTGTTTCATAATGGCTCATTTTTTTCCAAAAATTCTCTTCAGATATCAATTATGTTTTCATGGTTATTTCAATGGCTCAACACACACACTGCAGGGGACAGAAAAACCAATATCATGTGATTCTGTGGCTTATTAAGCCAGTACACTTTTAACCAGTTATGGGAACATCATTAGATAATAACTTAGTAAGGAATTAAATGTGAACATTCAGGAACACACTGGAAACACTGTGTACAAGAGTACTTTATGGGGCACAGGGACAGCTAATTTCACTGAAACCCTTCAGGATCTTTCTCCCTGCATTACCCTAGTATAAGAAGCTCCTCTCTAATCAGTTTTGTCACTGTTCAATAGAGCTTACCTCATCTACCCTCAAAATCCACTCAACTGCTACATAAGCTTAAATTTGTTATCCTTGTAACTTCACCTTGAATTCTTCTGGGCTGCTTCTGAAGATGGGTTTTCAGTTTGCTTCTGTCTGTCTATTTTTTTCCACAGTTAATTCTAAAACCTTTCATCTCACACACACACACAAAAAAATCTTATTTGGGTCAATGGTGCATGAGTTAATTGAGCTTCAGTTCTGTCTTCCCCATTACAATAATACTTAATCTGGTAGTCACCAAGCAACTTCAACCTGCCAGATTTAAGAAGGGGCACTTTGGCTTCCTCCAGTAGAGAATGTATTAGGTTTCAGAAGTTCTTCCTCAGCTCTGATGAGGTACCTTCCCCTTCCTTAGATTTATTTTCACCTAGTCAGACTTTTTCCCAGCATTTATTAACGTCAGAAAATGAAGACAGTTCTGGAGTCATTCCTAGATTAATTTAATGCTCTTTATGGGGAAGTGACAGGAAAGTACTGCTTCTCTTTCTGTTAATAATTTCAAAGCATTTGTTCTTATCTTCTTAGAGAAGATTCAAGAGGGCTTCTCCAGAATTATCATGCGGCTTAAAAGTCTGAGAAACCTGTCTGTCTACTTGATTGGTAAAGCAAGCTCTACTTCAGAGGAAGACTTTAGAGGTATCCTCTACAACACTGGCCAGGCAGTTTTTTAGAAAGCCCATCTTGCAATCACTCATCATGTGTAATCATAAATATTCTCTGTATTTGGGGCTTGATTCCTACTAAATATTGCATTCACTATGTCTGTGAGTTTAAGATAACTACTGGGCTGTTTCCTTGCATTCACTTTCAAAAATAATGCAAGGAAACAGCTCAGGAGTTATCCTAAACTCACAGGCATACTGAATTGAACATTTAGGAGGAATCAAGCCCCAAATACAGAGAATACTCATGATTACTGCACAATTATACACTTTCATCTCAAAAAGGACAAGTTCATGCTTCATTATTAGTATATGATATCAAAAAAGCCACATTTATACAAAAAACACAGTTTATTACCTGCTTTTCTGCAAAATGGTACTGGCAGAGTTTTTTCCACAACTGTCTGTCTTCACTAAGCATGTACAAAGTTGGGGTCACTTGACCCAAAGTAATAATGTCCCAGCCATCAGAGAACCTGTATAAGATGTTATTCAGCATATGGAGAGGGAGATCGCTAAGTGTGAGTCCATTGTTGACTTGCTGGAAATAAGAGTTCAAGACTTTTAGCTACAAAAACATGACAGTATAAAGTACAAATAAGATTCTTTACTTTAGAGAAATCTCGGGTCTTAGTTTAATTTTTTCAAATAATTGAATAAAATCTATGGTTAATGCTTGCCTACAATTATTTCCAACCGCTGTTGGAAATTTAAGTTAATGTACAAAATCAATAAACTGTAAGCTTTATAACTCATAGCTTTCCTACTGTTAAAATAAACATATCCTAAATTCGTTATTTAAATTTCAAATCAATTTTGAAACACTTCTGTTCTCTCAAAATATTATGCCGTCTTGAAAACTATAATCTAGTCAATTCATCTATATTGTGCTAAACCCTTAACTATAAGAAAGGCATGAACCAATTATTTCTAACTTGTTGGATACTAGTTTCTCAATTTTTATTAACAAACAAAGCACATATCAACTTGTCTTAAGCCAACTAGAGTACAGAATAGAATATAGGATACAGGACTAAAGACCAGAGATACAAAATGAAAGCATTTTGCAAGTAAGGGGCAGAAGAGAGTGGGATAATTTCTGAAGTCTAGCTCCCCCTAATTTATAAGTGAGAAGATCTGCAGAGATGACAGATGAGAGCACTGAGAACATTTTCAGTAAGACTCTACACCTCTGTGAACTGCAGTGGGGTAAGCAGCAGCACAGCTCCTACACGGCTAAAGCTGGAGCCCACGGTGCCAGGTGGCAGAGGCCCAGCAGGCTGCAGGCTGTGTCCCAGCTGGCAGGGAGGGAGCACGGGCAGTGCCAGCTCCAGGGAGCAGAGCTGCCCTGTCACAAGGTGGTGGCAGCACAGCAGCCCTGCTTCACCCATGGGCTCACATTTCTGTCTGCTTTCTTCCCAACCATTCACCTTGCTTGCAGACCAGACTTCCCATAGAGTCATCTGGTACAAGCACTGCCGGGGCAGCAGCATTCCTCTGCTGAGGAATGACTATGTGAGCACTACAGATGCAAGATTCCTCATGGGCTACTCCAGCCAGTGTAAAAGAGCTCCAAGGGAAGGGAACAAGCACAGCAGCAACTGCACTGTCTCAGAAGTGTCTGTGCTGTGGTTGCCTGCTGCACGGAAATTGCTGAGACCAGGTTTCTCAGTTCTCCTTTCTATTCCAAAAGTAGCTGGTTTATTCAGATAACCAGCTCACAAAGAAAGGACAATTTCAAAATTTCACAGCTGGAAGCCAATAGATAAAACACTTGTATGACTTTATAGTGAGCAATATCTTACAGGATTTCTTCCAGGAGTAAGCCAGTCAGGTTAAAAAAGTTGTCTGCTTATCATCAGAAGTTTCCACTATAAAGTCCTGGTACAGTGCATACCACATGCTTTGAACACAGTCACATGAGGAGAAACCAGATGCTGAAGTTATTATATATATTTTTTTTTTTTTACAAAAGCTACTGTGCTAATGAATAAATCTGTAAAATGGCTACTTCAGTTGATACACCTCCAAAATGTCTTTTAGATTTTTATTTCTTCAGATGTAGAAAATTTATTTTGGAACTAAAAATTGGGGCTTTTCCCCCCATGTTTATCTGACAAGCTAGAGATAATTTTTTTTAAACTTATTTGAGTGAGAAAAACAGTTTTATCTACACATCTCCACTACAAAGCAGCAGTACAGACACCGTAGCAGCTTTCACTAGAGAAAAGCTATTAATACATTAGAAAAATCAAGCTGACGCCAGTGAGTTAATTTCACAGTACTTCTTCATAAAACAAAACAAGTAAAACTGCTAGTTTGAATATATTTGAAACTTGGTTCACTTACAAATCCTCATGCAATATTCAACATAATTCCCCTCCCCCAAATATTAATTAATTATTTAATAATATACCTTGTTCATCTGAAGATTTTTTAATTGTTGTTGCCACAGAAGGATAGTTTCTAATCGGCAAATCCAAATATTGATGTTGCCTACCAACACAGATTTTCCTACTCCCCTAATCAGTATACAGAGAGTAGAACTCAGATCCTGTAGAAGATCTTTGATCAATCGTGGATTATATTGGTCTTCCATAACTGGAAAACAAAACAAAGCAAATACAATTTTGGTTGACAGAGTTAACCAAGCTAATAGCTCAAGCTAATCAACACTCCTTTTTTAGATGAATTAATTACAACTCAACTGTTTGTGTACAAACAACTGCCCTAATTCCCACCATGACATTCATTGGTGCTGTTCCTTATGTGCAAGATCAATAATGAACAATTTCACAGGCAAATTTGATGCAAAAATTCATGCTATGCATTTAGTAAGCTTAATGCTAAACAGGTAGGTATAAATCCAATTTCTTCAGTTCAAAGCAGACAGTACATCTCCATTTAGTGTGGATACCAGAAAAAAAAAAATCAATATAATGTAATGGCGTTTTCTTAAAATAATCAAAATGTATGTTTTTTGAGTCTCAGTACATCATGCAAACTGAAATCCAAAAATTTATTAACCTAAAAGCTTTCGCATTTTGTGAGGAGTATAATTTAAAAGTAACCAATAGTTTTAGAATAGAATCTAAATGTCACAATTTCACCAACCTGTTTCAACAGACTTTATTCAATAACAAAGAGAAAGTAACTTACTGCAATCATGGGATGGGAAGTATGAAACCTGGTATAATTAAGAATGCTATTACTATGTCTTACAATGTAAAAATGGTAATAAGACTCAAAAAAAAAAAAAAATCAGTTGATAGCTTAGTTACAGCAATTAAATCCGAACAGTTAGATTACATATTTCTAGGTCTTACCCTTCTGCACAATTTTGTCCAAAATGTTAAAGTAGTTCTTCTGTGCTGCACCACTCAGTGAAGTTAACTGGGATTTTGCAATTAACTGCAACAGCTATGACAAAAAATTAGAAGTCAGAAGAATGACAGAAGTAAAGGATGGTTTTAAATGCACATTTAGTGCATACACTCCCCTAAAACAGCCTGCATTGGCATTTTGTGAAAATACTACTACAGATTTCAGAAGACAAAGTAAGACGTGGAAAGCTTTAAGCATTCCCACTGGCATCCCATGAACAGTTTCTGAAGGATGCAGGTTTTCAAAATACTGTACAAATGCTTATCTCTAGCAAAGCACATGATATACTTTATGAGCTGTAGTGAAGCAACAGAGTCTATTTCGGGGAGCTCACAAATACAAATGTTAACTTGGATGTGGCTGGGTCCTGAAATCCCTGACAGATTTGGTGGCCAGTAACATCACTCTGAACTGATACCAGTTACCAGAGTTACAGCTTATGAGTGAAAGTATTATACTAGTCAAACTGAAGTGTGATGGATTTAGTGCACTACTTTCTACTCATGGAGAGGAGATACCGTATTTTGCCTAAACTAGGCAAAACCACTTTCTGTATTAGACCTACATTCATGTCCCTGGTAGAATAAACCACAGCAATCTAATAATGAGCAGTGTACAAACCACGTCAGTAACTTTCTCTTAAGTATTACGGTAAGAATCTCCTAGCTGTCCACACATCTGTCTCTGAAACCACTGTGAGCAAAAAAAGTTACAAGAACGGTGGCAATGGTTCAGGGCAAAACAATTACAACAGCTTAAGTTCTTGCCCCACACATGAATGCCAAGCAATAGCTACTAGAGGCAGCCCTTGCTCCATTCTGGTACATTTGCTTTTATATTTCAGATTAAGTTTTGTGGGAGATAAGAACCATTAGCTCTTCAACAAAAAATGTTCTCTTATTATGAGAGACTTTGATGTTGTGACACAATTGCAATGTTTAGAGGTGTGGCACTGAGCTTTGCAATTTGCACTTTATAACAATGAGTTCAGAACAAGTGTTCTCAACACACTGGAAAGGGAAAGCATGGAGCAGAAAACAGCATTCCCTAAAGAGTGTTCCAGTACGAGGTAGCACCAAGTGCTGGCACAGAGGATGAAAAAGACTAAGCTTGCCAAAAATTATATTGTATCTTCATTTCTAAAACACCAATTTGACACTTCACTCAACAATAATTTTCCTTGGGAGGAAGAAAGAATACACCTGTTCTGTCCCTGATTTAACAATGTTACTTCTGGCTCCTCTGCATGTTCTCTGACAAAATATTATGTGCTATACAAGAAAGAAATAATTGTCCTGATGTATTTAAATACAAGCAATCTAGTCTTAAAAACTGTATAAATAGATATCAGGATCTCTTTGTTGGCTTTTTCAAAGCCTATTAGCCTGATTAATAATTGAGAACATACCTAGAGGTCTCTGGCAGTCTGCCAGTTCAAGCAAGTATGTACATTTCTCTTGATTAATTAAAAAAAAAAAAAAGTCAGTTATGTTGCTCAGTCTAAAGATCAAATTAAAGAAACAAATTCCACCTGACTGACTGTAATGGAAATTCTAATTTCAGTGAAAGTTAATATGCAAGGATTAAGATTATTGTAGCAAAAGCAAAGTAGCAGAGAGTACTATGATCTCACACACTGATACATGCAGAGCCATGGCTTATGCTGTCTACTACGGATTGTAACTTTGAATGGATCTATGTTTACTCAGAAACATTTGACCAAAACCCACCCATATCAAATTCAGTGTATCAGAATTTAACAGCTACGAAGTTATCAATACACTACAGCACCCACAAATACAAAAAAACTAACTGATCCTACCTTCTCCCCCTCACTGCCAATCCTAAAAGAGTCCTGGACAGACATCAATATTAACTTTTAATAATTAATGAAATTTTTAGGTAGTTGGAGAATCATCTTGATGGTCTGGGATCAAAGAAGAGCTAGGGTAGGGTTTGGTCTTTAAAAATAGAATTCTTGAGTTATACGTTGCTATCAACAAACAGCCACCACTTCAGGGGAACTGATGCAGACATGATCAAGGTTTTGTATTTGTAAAACAATTTTAAATTTTAAAAATTCCAAATAAATTCTAAAACATTTAAAGGACTTTGAAAGTGTTTCTACTATTTTAAATTCACTCAGATTTCTTAGGGTCTGCTATTAGCAGAAAAATGGTTTGGATTGCAAAGCCAAATTTCTGAATTTTGAAGTACTGCTCCTTCCTCAATGATCTTAAGCCTGGCTGACTAAACCAGCTTTTTGTATTTCTTGGTGAACAGAAAAAAAGCGGGTCAACATGCTTATGCTGGACTTTGCACTTTGTCTTGATCAACTGTTTGGAGCAACCCAGTTCAGGCACTGCAGCACCTAAAACAAACGTGGAATTCTCAATCTGCATTTCTTTTACCTGCTTGCTATTCAACTGAAACTCCCAACGTTGACACCATTTATACCAAATCACTTTTTCAAGTGCTTTGGTTTTTCTTCTTCCTACTATTCAAGGCTGAAAAGTCTTGGGAAGGATCAAGGCTCTTGATTCTGCTCCCAAAAAAGCATTAAAAAGTAATGTTCTAAACCACAACATATACATATACCAAAAAAACCCCAAACCCTGCAAGGAGAACAAACCAGGCAAGTACCCTAACTACTAGCCTGGAAGCAAATCCTTTTTGATTTGTTTCCACATCTTTTGTTTTTCTGAAAGTACAATACATTGCCTCATCTTCACAGGGATGGATAGAATGTGTTTTCTCTACAAATAGTCCACAGGCTAGTGGTAAGGGTGTTCTCCTGGTATGTTTATTTAATTTTTGTCTTTTCAAGTTCAGGATGCATTCCAAGAAATACAATATTTGTGAACAACCTCATCACTGAGCAGTCCACTCTAGTCCTGATATGACTTGCATTTTGAGCTACTCTAGGAGCTGGGACAAGCACTTTACTACCTCAAGTTAGACAAACTTCAGGCTAGAAAGAGATCAGTATCGCCAAAATAGACATTTCCAAGTGGGCAGCTGGTGAGGCATTGAGGTAATTAAGGCTGCAGTCTCAAGTTGTACAGAATATTAACAAAGATAAATGCATAGATATCGTCCGTGATAAAAAAACTGCAATGAATCACAGGACTGGTAAGAAGTCACAGAAGATACAGAAATAGCAAAATACTTGTATATCAAGTACTCTTCTAGAAATTGTTACTTGAAAGATATTTGAGATGCAGCGAAGTATATTTAAGATTAATAACCCTTGGCTATTTTTGGTTGTATAGAAATTATTTTACCTTTAAAGAGAGTTCATTCCCCAGACTGATGAACAACAACTGAAACTACCATCAATGTTCCCCTAAATGACACAGCACAGTGGCCATCACCATCCTTCTCAAGCTATAGGCTTTCAGACAGCCACATAATGAGTTTTCACCAGAGAAAATTTACTCAGTTTGAAGTTGCTACTTGCATTATAAATTACATATGATCAGGATATTTATACAATTACAAATCATCTGTTCAGTGCAAAAACATTCCTTTTGTATACACAGGCAGATCAGTAAGTGCATTTTTATAATATACATATAAAATAAAGAGCTTACTTTGACCACGTAATTGAACCTCCTAATGTCCTGAATCGCACTTGAAAAGTCTAAGCGGTTAAAGGCTTCCCCCAAGGTGCAATAGCCATGTCTCTGAGAAAGGGAAAAATACACTTGAAATGGAAGGAAACAAAGACAAAATAGAGCAAAACATTCAGAAAACCACTCTGACATGCAGCTGATGCTAATGGATACCATGCTCCCTAAATGTAGTGCCTCTGGACTGAAGAGGTACTTGTTCTACAAGAAATTAAATTAAACAAGATACACTACTTGTAACTATCAGATATGGAGGCAAGGCCTTTCAATTCATATTAAATGTGTAATCTGGCATCACTGGTGTTTGATTTCCCTGGGAATCTACCCCACTCTTGCATGGCCACAATGCTGGCACTCCCTCGTGGGAGTCCCCATTTGCCATGCACAAGGAAGAGCTTGCTTGTACAGCTGTCTGAGCCTACAATTATGAGAATTATCTGATCCACACTTAAGGGTGAGAACACAGCAAGTTGCTTCTGAGATCAGAAGAAAAAATGGTCTCAACATCTAGAATTTATTTTCCAGGCGCTAGAAGCTTAGCGACTTTTTTTTTTTACACATCGAGAGCAAAAGCAAGTGCATTTTCCTTTGGTACTTCTCCACACTCTAATGTGAAAATGGAAGTTTTAGAGGCTGTTGAGAAGACTTAAGGTGGTAGAAGCAGCCCAAAATGACATGGGATTACGTAAACTCAGTACATTTAGAGCCACAAAGCCACACTGGAGCCCAGGAAAATACACTGAGGCTAGGAAAATCTGACTGGTAAAAGAGTCTCACAGAGCAGTGTGCTATTATGGTTTTATTAGCCCAGGGAAGAAGGAGGATAAATAATTATTTAAAGCTCATTCCTAGACAGACTTCCTTGGTAAATTATGGGATGTTGACAAGTTTTGAAGTACAAATAATGTTCCTTTTTGTGACTCAGTAAACACTTACCATGCATGTACCCCAGCAGTATGGGACAGTTAAGAATTCACTGCAGAGTGGTTATAACTACTGCCTGTTAGTTAGTGACCAAATTCAGGATTGCACTGCTTGCTCATTCAGCTGATGCACCTCAGACCCAAGCACACTGCACACTTCACAATATGCACACCTTGCTTAGCTAACAGCAATGAATTAACACATAGCCAATTAAACTTTTGTTGAAATTTAAATTTTGCAGCTGTTCTCTGCCTAAACAGTTATTATCATTAGGTCATGCTTAAAACATTAACATAAGAGACATTTCCCTGAACAGACTGCTATGAAACTACAGCTTTACCTTTCCCAGTGTACCATCATGACAAAATTATTCCAAAACATCTCCAATTTCATTTCAGCCACACACATGCACTTGCTTTGGTTTTCTTCAATTTCAATGCTCTCCCATAGCACGGTTCACATGTTTCTTTCCAAGACCTCCCTATCTTTTCATCTTGCCCTAAAAAACAGTATCCAGTTTGGGAAGAAATGTTTCCTGGTTGTGAGACCTCTTTCAAAATCAAGAAAGATCAGAACCTGTAAGGAAAACTAGAGCCTCCAAATTATGTTTTAGAATAGCTTAGATTGTTGGTCTGGATTTTTCGGTTATTCCTTGCTACTTTTTCAGCCTAGTACTCTAAGCTTTTAAATTTATACAAATAATTACTTGAAAGATAAGTGTTTAATTCTAACCATCCCTGGTTTGTTTTTTCTATTAAAAACCCAAATAAATCTGAAAGATTAATGGTCAAATATTAGAAGGTAACCAAAATACTTTGTCTGTTCTCTGAACGGACAAGGAACAGAAGCAAATACTCACACATGACTAGTACACCAACTTCTGCACAAGTAGGGGAAAAAAGAAACCCTTTATATACAGGTTATGAAGGACACCAGCGCATGATTTTAGGCTATTTGTATTTTAGCCTCAATGTACTTTTGAAACCTCAGCTTAACCTTATCATTCAAAGCACCACAAGGACTGGTGACAGTCTGTTGTCCCCCTGCTCCTTCTCACCCTAATTTAAGACAGCACAAAAGGAAAAAGCATTTTCGAGACTTTTGCAGACCAATCTAAGTAACGTAATCTAGGAGATAAAGCAGAAAGAGGGCTGTGAATCTGGTGAAAGGCTTTAAAGTACCCTTCAGATCTAGGTCTAGGGCAGTCTCTGGGTCACTGCTCTATAAGGTCTGCAAAGTCTTGCAGTATGTCCTTTTATGTAAGCTCTTCTCCACAGCATGCCCTTCCTGGTAAAAAGCTCCAGGTTGTCTCTCTCAGCTGTAAAATGCAAAGCTACTTTTCCCTGCATGGCTACAGTCATCAGCCTCACCTCCTTCCCCCTCTCCTGGCTGACATTACCATGTGGATGTAAAACCTCCTTTACTGGTGTTCAAGCTCCACACATCCCAGATAGCCATGGCAATCAGCACAGGAATGAAATTCACACTTCAAGACAGTTTAATCTCTACATACAATGGATGTATTTTAACTCTTGACTTTCCAAGAGGTGACTCCAAGAGCTTTCATATTCCCGTTACAGTTAGATGATAGAGTTTATATCCCAAACTGAAAGCATGTGGACTTGGTTGAAAATAAAGATCCTCTTTGTAAAGTTTGAAACTGATGCTTTACTTACTTCCATTCAAATTTACACCAAGATCCCAAAATACCAGGTGGCTGCCTGCAAGCAACTTCTTCAGAGATATTTCTTGGGTTTTGCAAATACTTTCAATTTTAGTTCAAAGAGACAGTAGAAAGATAGAAGGGCTTGGATAAGTAGTGAAGAACTGTGTATCTGTCCTAGCAAGTTCCCACATGTCTGCCACAAAGACCTACCTACAAGTCACTTGGACAGCTGCCTTTGCCTCACCATGTGCAGGTGTCCAGTATTGCCAATGAAGAGAGTTAAGTACAGCCCCTAAGACCACATGGCAAAAATACTTTTTTCAATATACTGTCTGTCAAGAACCACAAAGATTGACCCACACCATGCAGACTTACTTCCTTGGTGCTTTCCTTATGAACATAAATCCACTTTTCACGATAAAAACCTACAATAAAATCAAAATATAAGCATTTTAGGCTTCCACATTAGTTAATGCCTTCCAGAAACTCAATTAAACATACAATTTTCAATAAAATGCTTCGTAAGATAGCAGAACAGCTTTAATGAAGGAAGTTTATAAATGATGGAAAAGATACCTAAAAATTGTCACAAGATGGACTTCCTGAAAATAATAGAAAAGTTATAGAATTTATTTTTTTTTAAACCACAAGACCTGGCACACAATTGGTTGATGAATGGTGACTTTTGTCAGCTGTGACCAATCTGACATGACATAATTATGTCCTACATAATTCCTGACATTTTTTTTTTATACAACAGGCTCCTCAGCATTTGAAAGTACAGCAGATATAGACCACACTTTCGTTCCTGACCACTCCATCCCCTAATTCATTTTCTTCTGTACAGGTGCCTGTTCTACACTGACTTGGTTCAACTAACTGCAGAGGACAGCAAGGAAGTCAAGGGTACAAGACTAATGAAGGCAATCAGGCTGACCTTCAGCTTTTACAAGTCTTGCATGTTGTCAAATGAGACATGCAGCCCCTTGAATCTTCTGAAATACCTGAAACTCAGGCAAGCCTGGAGAAGCTTGCAGCTTTCTGCAACACCATCTCTCTAACAATTTTTGGGGATACACAAATAACAGATCATTTCAAGATCAAAGCATTAGAAATGACAACTAGCTGCTAACCAACTTACCTTTTTTACCTACTCTACCAAATTCTCTGCTTTACTTGCTGTCATACACATTTGCAGTCAAAAGTACAAGCAAGCTATTACACATGAGCACCGATAAAATGGCTTTCATATCTTAATTTTTTTAAAGGGACTTGTCTCCAAGAAATTCAGTCCTGATAAAATCTTTATCAGGAGATATGATTGTTATGACAAAATATATTTATTTATGAACTGATTCTGGAGTTGGTTGACTAATTAGAACTTGAAATAAACAAAATAAACCATCTGCTTTGGGAAGCAGAAGCTCCCATAAGCATCCAGAAGAATTTAATCTAAAACTAGTCCACAAAACATAACAGTGGTTAGTATCAGAAGACACCTAATACTCAGCAATTACTATTCTTAAATGAATTACCTTTGGATCTTTGATAAAAAAGTCCAAAATAATAAATGATCTATAACACAGTTTCAGTTAAGACATAGCACTTTTGACACCAGAATTTGTTGTCAATGCAGAAATAGGCATAATTTGGAAGGCTACTCTATAGGTGAGTATAACATTACTACTATAACATTTCTCTGGATCTACATGTGTCTTCTAAAATAAATGAAAAACCCCAGCCTTACATTGTGAATCTGTGTTATTCCTAAAATGATCTTTTTTCCTTTTCTTGGCTGCAAACTCACAGTCTTCAGTATTGTACACTTCTTCATTCTCATCATCTCCAGTTATGATACTGAAATAAAAACATCTAATTAGAATAGCAGTAATTAAATATTTAAGATGCATACATCTTACAATTTCCTGCATTAAAGTCTACCAGCTGGAAAAAAAAAAATCATGTTCTTAATTAAGAGCCTCTATCTCATTGTCTATAGCAACATGTATCTGGAGAGAAGCTGTCTTCTTTTCTTCCCAGAGGGGGTGAATTTTATGCCAAAGTGATTAATACATGAAAGTATCTTCCTAAGAGGTACCTTGAAAATCATTACTGACATTCAGGAAGGACTAAGGAGACAGTACTAGCTGGACAACTGTAAAACTCTGCAGAGTTCTGGTGCACAAAAATCTGTTTTTTGAAGTAGACCAAGTCTTAACTGCACACAGGTAAAAAGTCTGTGAAGAATTATTGCACATCCTTGCACAGGCAGAAAGCCAGCAATGAACAACATCTCTCTTACTACTGTCACCTTCAGGGCAAACAAAGTCCTCCTTTTAAGAAACTCTTGATTCACAACTCTGTACATACTACAGGTGTCATGGCACTGTTTTACCAATGATTTGTACAGCATCAAGAGGCAAGTGGTCTGTCACTGCCAGACAGACTCAACTCCACCTAGGTCACTTCTGACAGTTAACTATGTAACCCAACACCGAGGACTACACCAAATGCTTACGTATATCAAACACACAGTGTGAATATAAAAAATTACACATATAAATTACTGAAAATCTTTTTTAATAAGCTAACATTTCTAAAATGTATATGCATTTAAAACTGTCTGTGCTACAGGAAATCTACACAGCTTCATGAAATTTTCATTCCATTTTTGCAGATAACTGTAAGGACCAGCAACAAAGATAAGAATGGGTGTTCTCTCTTCTAGCACTGAGAAGGAAGATACTTCATATGAAGGCTACAGTCTTGCACAGATAAGAATAATGAAGGATACATGGTAATGAAGTGGACTTATTTATCTCTACATTACTGCTCTTTGGCAACAAAGTTGTATATGAAACCCCTCACATTCATTACTATTTTAAATCTAAATTGCTTTTTATCACTGCCAGTTTGAACTTCAGGTTAAAACAAATGAACACTGTAAACTCGTGGACAGAAGCTTTTTCAAAAATAACCTGTATCTGGGCATTAAGTGACAAAAATCAAATCATTTTAGTCTATTGCTACTAGCTTACAGAGTTAAAATTTTCAGGTTTGAACCATCTGTTAAACAACACTGTAAAAAATGTTTGGCTTCTGAATTGTTCTAATCAGTACATGCTAGCTCAGCTTAAAGACACACAAGTTAACAAGATTTAGAAAAAGAAAGTTGCTTTTTTTCCAGGATTTAAACCTAACATCTTCATTCAGATAGTGCTCAATACAAGGTGATAGCATTAGTTCAATCCTTAATATTTTTAAAGCAGAGGATAAAGACTCAATACCTTAAACATTCTATACAACAGTGCCAAATATCACATCTGGTCAAACAGCAAAAGAGTTCAGAGGGAAGAAACCAGCAAGAGACAAAAGCAAAACATCAACACAAGTTATTTGCTTATGTAACATTTCAATCGAGCAGTTTGTTTTTGTGGGCTTTTTCCCCCCCAAAGCTATCATATAGGAAATCTCTAAACTCACTAAAATGAATTTAATTATGATTTAACATATTGGCTGCATCACCACATCATGTGAGAAGCTATGGCAGAATCTGAAGAGTTGCTACAGAACCAGAAATCGAGCCAAAAGCTCCCAGAGTTTTATCATCCTAACAACAGATACAAGACTAGGTCCCTGATACTCTGAAACATAATCCAAGCAGCACAGAAACTCTCTCATGCCCCTTGACCCAGGGCAAGCAATTGTGAGAGGGTGGGAGACCACATGCCTGAAGGCCTGCTTAGAAGAAGAAGGTTAATATGTAAAGATTCCTTCTTTTGTTCCTGGATCCAAGTGTCCCTAGAAGGTAATTCAGGCCAGTAACATACTTGAAGTGATTTGAATCCCACTCCTGACACCCCGTAAGATATACTTCCCCAAGCATCATATAAATAACTAAGGCAGCTTCAGGAGTCAATAAATGTAAGGAATTGTGAAGATGAAGACTTATTTCAAACAGTCTTCATCTAGCATTCAAATTTGCCTGTGACATTCCTGGAATTCCTTAAGTGTCTTCAGAGAAAAGACAAATTGGACTGTTACCTCTGAGGATCTTCTGATATGAGGCTTTATTTCCTCATGTTCTGTTCCACTTCACATAGAGAGACTTTCCCTACTCATCTGTAAACACCCCACTCTTCTTGACAAACATTTAGTCTGAAAGCAATGAGTGAAAGCAAGGGTCCCACAGACATCAGAAGAATGGGACAGACACAGTTACCCAATGACTGCTAGCATCCCTTCCAGAAATCTGCAGAGCTGCTTGACAAGTAATAAAGCTGCTCTACTGTTCCAAAAGCAACCCCTGCCCCCTCAAACACCAAGATAAGATACAAGAAACCAAATCAAGTGCTGCACGTGCCATATGGTGTAACAGAAGCCTTAATTTAGTGTTTTTATTATAATACTGCACGTGACATTTGAGTGTACCTGGCAGGATTTAAATATGTACATAATACTGCCAATTTACAGCTATTCTTACTCTCTTGTCTTGATGAACACTTCATAAAAATTGTTCTAAAGCTTTTAAAAGCAAAGTACCTGGTGTCCTTAGAACCATAATATCTTCAATAGATCATGCAACAATTTCAGTTTTCCCAAAAAGTAATTTCATGGCAGTATTTAAATAACCTCTTGGGTATGATACTTAAAATGATGGAAAATGAGACAGGGCTATCTGAGCTCCAACTATTCTCCCTCATCTCCTTGCTTCTTTTCACATGGCCCTCAACTCTTGCAATTATTTACAGAGACAAATTATTTTAGAAGTGACTCTCACAGCTTGACCATGGAAAAATCCTGAGCTAAGTGCACGCACCAAATGATTTTGTCATTTGACAAATATATTGTAATGTTATCTGTTCACAGATTCAAATCAAAGGACTTCTATTCAGAATCAAAACTGCCCTTGTGAACACTGTGTCTCACAGAATCAGACAAGAGAAACCACAGACTGAAATTACTACCTTGTCAGCCCAAGCTGTTCATATGAACCTAACACACAAAAAGTAAATATCACCATCATTAAAATCTTATTAGTCTAATTCTCTTTTACCTCAAAAAGAACACATAAGACAGCTTTACTCCTAAGTTGCAGGCTAATGAAAGACACTGGCATACAATTCTGTAAGGCAGCTCCACCCCCACCAAGCTTCTCTCCACCACAAGGTTTCAAGGACACAGTGCCACAGCACTGGAAGTGTCTATCTTTGCTTGAATTTACAGGCAGTCACGGCCAGCATTCACACCACAGAGCCTGAATGCACACAGCCCAAGCCACATCTCCAGATACTATATGCCTTGATCACTCTTAGGCAAATAACTAAGACCTACTGAAGTGATGGTTTCTTTTTTTTTTTTCAATCTTAGTTTCCATAAAAGATCTAAAGTGCAATTATTCAAGCAATTAATTATTATGCCAAATAATTAAAACTCTTTCTGCACAAGTGATTATATTTGTTCAAGCACGGTTACCATTAGGTCTACCAGTTTTACTAATTCAGCAGCTGGATTCACCAAGGCATTGGATGGTTAATCAAGCAAGGTTATAAGTTCTATTTTAACAAGAACACATTCTTCGATTTATGTAACTTATGTGTCTTTAAGGTTTATTTCTGAATCTGTTTGTGATTATATCCTCCTAATTTCTGAAGAGAAAGTATTTGCAATGGGTAAAGGACAATATTTGGCAAACAATTCTATCTACACTTTCTCTCACAGAAGAGAATAGAAACAAAACTAGAAAGGGTTTCATTCAACTAGATAGCTTGAATTTATTTCTTTATAAAGGAAAACTGCTATAACTGCTCCCTTAAATACAATACTAAAGTACTAACTTCAGAAGAGATTTTTACAGAATATTTTAGTGAAAAAGATTATTCCTTACAATGGATATAAATGAATAAAACCCTGCTAGAACTGCCAGATTGACATACAGCATCATCCCTATTCACAGGGCAGCTTGAAGAGAGAAATAGGTATTTTTGCACTGTTTACTATATGTTTCTTCTACAAGGAAGCACTTGATAAAGTCTCATTTTTCAGTCTCATTTTTCTTTAGTGCTACATCATGTTAACAAATCTCCTAAGCTATCTTCAATATACACCATAATTATTTCCAAATAGCATAAGATGGTACAGAGATCCAGCCAGCAACACATCTTACACTGCTGTACCACAATGTGAAGTCCTGCCCGTGACACAGAAGAGCCCCAGACCTGGGTATGTGCTGGGTACAGACTGGACAGAAAGCAGTTTTGCAGGGAAGGAGCCAGGAGTCTGGAGGACAAGTAACTGAAAACAGGTCAGCAGTGTGCCCTTGTGTTGTGTTAAACCAACTGCACCCTGGAGTGAGCTATGGAAAGTGTATCCTGCAGACTGAAAGAAGCAAACACCCATCTTTATTTGGCATGAGTACTCATCTGGAGCACTGTGACTAGTTTGGGGCCCCCCCAGTACAGTGAAAACATTGTCATACTGGAACAACTCCAGTGGGGAGTCACCAAGCCACTGGAGTACATGGTGCACAAGGGCAGAGAGCTGACCTTGCTCAGTTCTGAGAGCTGGTGGTGAAGGGAAATCTAATTGCTGCCAGTTTTTAATATGAGGCTATATATAAGATAGAGTGAGACTAAGTTTGGAGAAGGTGGGCAGTAGTAAGTCAAGTGGTAATGGACACAACCTGTGATAAGAGAAACTCTTACTGGAAATTAGGAGGGCAGGGAGAAATGATGCAACGTAGGACAGCACAACAACAACAACAAAATAACATTGACAGTAACAGAACTTAGAACGGGAACCCAGAAAAGATCCTCCATTCTTGGAAAAGCACAAAGCTGAACTGGGCAAGGCCCTGCAGAACCCAACCTCAGCCGGCCTTGCTTTAAGTATGTGTTTCAACCAGATGACGCTCAGAGGTCATTTCCACTCGAAATTGTTCCATAATGTTGTGCAAACAGACATTAATTGCAGTTTAGTGGCAAAACTCAACTGGCATATAAAAAGTTCAAGTTACAATCATAGATCCAAAGTTAAAGGTGTAGTGAAATTACTCCAAAGTAGTGCTACAATGCCAAGACGTACCAACTTGAATTCTCTAGTCTGAGTTTGAACAACATACATTTTTAATTGAATAGACAAAAGTAAAATTAAGAAACAAATTAAAGCCACAGTTTTTGGCTCCAGAAGAGTTCAGTTCTAGGGTGTTCCAAAAATAAGGTAAAAAAAAAAAAAAAATCAATCCAGTATTTTTGCTGAAAGAAGCCATAAAAATACCTCACCTTGCTCTTTGGAGAAAACATATGTTTATACATTTATACACACACACAATTAGGAGCAGAAGTCTTAATGGTATTCATAAAGACTGATCATTCCTTTCATACTGATCAAACAGTATTAATTAAGCAACCTACATGATATTTCTTTTTGAAGCAACTTGCAGTTGCTAAATACTTATTAGATTTCCCTTACTTTGCCAAATATATCATTAAAGACATAAATGAGAGAATATTTTTTTCAAAGGTATTTAAGGCAACTTTTATGTTGGAGGCTTACTGAACATTCTTCCAGACAAAGTTTTGTATCCACATTGGCCAGACTGTGTGGATAAAGAAGCCCAAATGAGATCAGTGACAGATTAACACAAAAGGAAAAAAGGCATGAAGGAAACAGTAGGTTAAGCTTAATAATAATGCTTCACTGCTTGATAACTCCCTTGAGGATTGTTTTATTAAATTTTCTAAATTTAAATTGAGAAAACACAGGTGTGTGACTACAGCAATTCCTAGCTTCCCAGTAAATCCCTCTCTAAACCATATGAGTTATCTTTTACTGGATTAACAACAAAACACCGAATGTTTCCTTTCCTCATTATGAGCACATTATGCTGGAATTTATGACCAAGATCCTACCCCTGAGAATTACTTCTTTGTGGAGGAGTTTGTTTTGACAAAATGATTTATATCACACCAGTTTGTGGGCATTTGCCACAAGTATTACTTGATTTACCTAATCTCTTTCTCACCTGTCCTACAGGAGCACATACAGTCACCTATTTTGTTAGAGAATGAGAATTAAGCTACCACTGATTGGATATTTGGAGCAATGGCATTTTATGGCTGCCACAAACTAATCCAACACCCACACAGCAGAAAGCCTTCATTCACTTCCAGGTTCAATATGCCTGTTGCACTTGCAATTTACAAGTGTCACTTTTACCTTTAAATAGTACTCAACAGGCATTGGGGTGCAGGTTTGGGTGGTTTTTTTTTTTTTGTGTGTGTGTGTTTATTTTTTTATTTTGTTTTTTTTTTTTTCCCTTTTTTATTTTTTTCTTTTTATTTATTGTTTTATTATTTTGAAAGACATATAGGCTAAGAAGGGATCTGGCTGCCTCAAATAAGCAACTCACAAAGCAGTGACAAAAAAGAGACAGCCTCCACAGGGGTCTCCTGTCTGCCTAACTAACAAAACACATGATTGCATTTGTATACAGATGACATCAGCTACCACAAACAGTTGCAATCTGAATGGAAATTCAGTCAATTTTGCCTTCCCACCTGCTATTAATTCATGCAGAATCACTTGTTTTTTTAAACTTACACAGTGTGGCTGATATCATTCAGCTGATTATTCCCATCCTCAAGTGCATGACTAAAGGTTTCACATCTTTTCCATCCATCTTCTGTTTTAACCCATCTCCATCCAGGGGATCTCCAGTCTTGGCCCAAAAATGGCATGGTTTCTCTATAAGCAGCAAGAAGAGATTCTTTGTCTATTATTTATTTTAAAAGTTTCAAAACTTCCTGTCATTATTTCAGTTTTCTATTTAGCCTTAAAAAGAAAATACCTTGAGAAAAGTTCTCTGTATAGCATCCTTTAAAGAAACAGATTCAGTGGTTTAAGTAGATTTTTTAATTCTCTAATGATGTTCTTCTTGTCTTTCAGCATTTTATTAGATCAAGGTAGATTTCCTTGTTCTTTGGAGAACAAGGAAAAAAATCCTGGTAGCCCATGAATGGAATGATACAAAAAAAAAGAAAATTATATAAATTATATCATGTGCAATCTGCTCTGTTATGATCAAACAGATTACTGATTTTCATACGTGACTAATAAATGGTTTTAAAGAGATCGACAGCTCACAAAATCAGTGTTGCTCCTTTTGTTTTTTCTAATTCTTACAAATACTGAGTTTATGGTACAATGTGTAGTGATGCTTTGGGAAAGGAATTTTAACATTCCCAAAAATCTTTTTATGTTGTTTTTGAGGCCACCTCCCATGCCAGCCTATTAAGCAGATACCAGGACAAAAGGACACTGCAACAAAGTCCATTGTGACATGTCTCCAGAAATTCCTACAAATAGATGCAGGTCATCCCAGATATATAAACAGTCTTCTGCTACCATTTTTCAAAAGTGAGATTCATTTCTGACACAGTAAGAATTTGAACAAGGCAGTTTTCTACACTTTGAAGACTATAACCCTGCCAGCGTTTGCTGTCTTCCCATTCATCACACGAACATATTGCTCCTTCGTTTAACAAGGGATTTCATATGCAAGCTATAGAGGGAAGATAGCATTATCATCTTCAAAACACATGTTAGTACATAACAGCAACAGCTTTGGCCCTCACAAACATGCATTTTCTAATATTTTTTCAACTTTAAAAAAATATTAGGCCTGCTCAGTAAACATCACTATGAATTTATTTAAAAATTTGCACTCTTGACCAGCATTCACCCAATATATTTGTTAGAAGAGGATAAAAGCCAGAAGAAATACAGGCTGAGTGAGCCAGCTGGGATTTTCTTTATTTAAAAACCTGCATAGTACGCAAAACAAAGTGCATTGCCTAGACCTCAGGATTGACTAAAGTCCCCCTCCTACTAATAACTCAGCTTTCCTCTGCTCCTAACAAGAGCCTTTTCCAAAATCTACATCATCCACTCCCCCAGTTGCAATAAACTTTATTCATGCCTATCTGCTTTTCCAATCCTTTTACTGCTTCCTAGGAATAATATGAAGCACAAGAAGTTGTTCAGTACTCCCCTCATACTGGTGTCTCTATCACAGAATGGTTTGGGTTGGAAGGGACCCAAAGACCACCCAGTTCCAATCCTGGGTGACACCTTCCACTAAACCAGGTTGCTCAGAGCCTCATCCAATCTGGCCTTGAATGCAAAAAGGATGGGATACCCACCATTCCTCTGGGTAACCTGTGCCAGTGCCTCATTACTCTTAGAGTAAAGAACTTTTCACTGAGACCTAATCTAAACCTACCTGCTTTCAGTTTGATGCCATTCTGCCTTGTTCTGTCACTACTGGCCCTTGTAAAAACCCCTTCTGCAGCTCTCTTGTATCCCTGTTTTAAAGGGCTGGAAGACTGCTCTAATGGTCTCCCCAAAGTCTTCTCTTCACCTGGCTAAATCCCAGTTCTTTCAGCCAGTATTCATAGGTGCTCTAGCCCTCCTCTGGACTCTCCAGCACATTCACAGCCTTCCTATGGTGAGAATCCCAGAGCTGGATGCAACACTGCAGGTGGTGTATGAGGAGAGCAGAGCAGAGGGGCAGAATCAGCTCCCTTGACGCACTGGCCACACTTCTTTTGGTGCAGCCCAGAACACCTCCAGCTTTCTGGGCTGCAAGTGCACATTGCTGACTCATGTTGAGCTCCTCATCAACCAATAGCCCTGAGTCCTTCTCCTCAAAGCTGCCTTCAGTCCATCCTCCACCCACCCTCTACTTGTGCTTGGGGCCACCATGACCCAGCTGCAGGATCTGGCACTTAGCCTTGTTGAATTTCAGGAGATTTGCACACTCTCATTTCTGTCCTGGCAGGTCCCTCTAGATGGCATCCCTTCTCTCCAGCTTGTTGACTGCACCACACAGTTTGGTGCCAAAAACTTACAGATACACTCAATCCCACTGTCCACATCCCCAGTAAAGATGTTAAACAGGCCCAGTCCCAATCCCAACCCCTCAAGAATGTCACTTGTCACTCATCTCCACTTGGACACAGAGCCATTGACTGCAACTCTTTGAGGACGACCATCCAGCCAGTCCCTTATCTACCCAGCGGTCCATCTGTCAAATTCATGTCTGCCCAGTTTAGAGACAAGGAATTTGTGTGGGACAGAGTCAAATGCTTTTCATAAATTCAGGCAAATTACATCAGTCACGGTGTGACCCTGTATGACCTCATCCACCAACCCTGAAATCCCACCGTAGAAGGCCACCAGACTTGCGAGGCAGGATTATCCCCTGGTGACTCCATGCTGCTGCCATCCTCACAGAGCCTAATGACATCCCAACGCCCCAGGCAGGCTCCACACGCCCCCTCCAGAGCGCCCAGTGCCGCCCGTCCCGCCTCGCCCAGCCCCTTCTGCCCACCCTGACTCCCAGCACCGCGTCCCACGCTCCCTCAGCTCCACACGCCCTTAAGAGCCAACCCTAAACCCCTCAAGCCACGACTGCCTACGCGCAGCCCCAACCCCGCAGGCCGACGGGACTCACACACACGGCCCTACAGGTGTCCTCCCGACCCCGCTGCCGGTCCGGTCCGGTCCGGCCCGCGCTCACCGCTCACCGCTCACCTCCCGCCGCCGCCGCTCCCTCCGTCCCCGCCGCTCCCCGCCCGGCGCTCGGCCCGGGCCTGGGCTGTTGCCGGAAGTACCATGGGCCGAGCTGGCCACGCCCCCCCCCGCGCTGATTGGTCGCCTCCCGCCGCGCTTGTTGCTACCCGGCAGCGCGCGCCGCCATTGGCGCAGCGGGGCGGGGCCGTCTCCGCCCGGCCCGAGCCGGCCGCGTCACGTGACGGACGCCCGCGGGCCGCACGTGCCAATGTTTTGGTCGGCGGGGGCCAGCGTTGTGAGCAGTGTGACCCAGCCCGTGTGCCCCCTCTGTGCCCCGGGTGTGCCAGCGTGCCTGGAAAACCAAGTTTATGGAGGGCCTTGTTTCTTAAAACTTTAAACCATTAATAGGTGATTCTATAAACATCTGAGATTTCACTTAAAATCAGTTATTTTCACTTAAATTCACACTTCAGTTATTCACTTAAATTCAGTTATTTTCACTTAAAATCAGTTATGGAGAAAACCATTTAAAAAAAAGTCAAGGCATTAATAATAAAATAAAAATAGTATTTTCAAACACTGTAATTGGTTTGAAATTTTGTGCTGTAGAAAAAGGCTCTTTTATTTTAATTATTTTAATGCTTAGGATTGACAATACTACAATTACTGCAACTTGTCCCTACCTGGAAGCAATCCTTAATGTTTTTGCTAGTCTTTCCCATAAGAAAATGGAGTTTATGAGCTTATAAAAGAATTTCAGTGTCATAACAGCACAGAATTCAGCAAAAATTCAGACTGGAAGGGCTTATTTTCTGTCTTTGGTCTTAAAAAGCTTACCTGAGTAGTTATATTTGGTCTGGGAGTCATTGTGTTCTCAATATGTTACTTTTAATAATTACGCTAGAGATAGGATTCCTTTCTTTTCTTGAAGACAAAAAAAAAGAAGTTGGATACCCAAATATTTTTCAAGACCCCAATATCCTGGCACAAATACAGCCATGGCAAAGGTGCTGCCTTTGCATCGCCACGGCCCGTAGGCCACTCTGTGCCATTGCCTGATTGGAAACATTCCCAGCCCTGCACTGGAAAATGATGTGAGTGTGAGTCAATATAAAAAACTCTACACCACTACTCTGCCAGGAGCGTGTCAATCTCCTTTTCCAGCCCATGAAAAGGGGTGGGTTTTTTTTTTTTTTTTTTTTTTTTTTTTTTTTTTGGTTTTTTTTGGTTTTTTTTTTGTTTTTTTTTCTCTTTGGCACCTGGATCTACAAAATTCCTTCATAATGTGCCACAAATCCTTTTGTCTCTAGGATCCTTCTGCATTTTCTGTCTTTGAGGTGTCCTGGGGTGTGTGGACGTACAATGAGTGCTCGATTAACTCGTTGCTCTGCTGGGGTTGCTCCTTTAGGGCAGGCTGGATTTTGCTAGCAGAGCTTCATGAGTGAAACATCTAATCCCAAAGTGATGCACTTCAGAAAATATGCTGCGGTTCTCTTGTGTTTACCTGAGGAGAAAGCAGCTTTAAAAGAAAATAAGCATGAGGTTACTTCTTGGAAAAGTGCAGCATTTTGGGAAAGCCTCCCACTGGAGCAGTTTGTGGAGGACTCTGTCCAGTGAGAGGAATTCCATGCTGGAGCAGGGGAGCAGCCTGAGAAGGAAGGAGCGGCACAGAAAAAGCGTTATGAACAGAGCCCAACTGCAGTTTCCCATCTCCCTGTGACACTTGTGGAGGAGAGGAGGTGGCAGAAAAGTCAAGAACAAAGAGTGGAGTTGAGTCTGGGAAAAAAAGGGAGTTTGCAAAAAGGTGCTTTTATTTTTGTTTCTGTTTCTCACAGTGCTGTTTTTAAAATACCCGATTTTTAATTCACAGCAAATTAAATTAATCTTCCCCAAGTTGATTCTGGTTTACCTGTGATGGTAATTGGTGGATTATGGTTATTGGTGGATGGTAATTGGCTCTCTGTCGTTATCTGGACCCATGAGCTTTTTCTTTTTTTTTTTTTTTTTTCCCTGTCCTGCTGAAGAGGAGGAGTGACAGAGCAAAGGGTTGGGCACCACACTTCCTAATATCATAGAACGGTTTGGGTTGGAAAGGATCTTTGAAGGCCCTCTACCTCCAATCCCCCTGCCATGGGCAGGGACAGCTTCCACTAGACGGAGCTTAAAGCTCCGTGCAGCCTGGCCTTGGACACTCCAGGGCTGCAGGATCCTCAGCTTCCCTGGGCAGCCTGTGGCAGTGCCTCACCAGGTACCTCATCTAAAGCTCCCAGGTATCTGATCCCACTGCTCCTGTGGCAGTGGCTCCCAGGTATCTAATCTACAGCTCCTCTCTCTCAGTTTCAAGCTTTTCCTATCACTACACACCCTTGTAAAAAGCCTCTCTGTGGGTTTTTTGTAGGCCTTCTTCATTTCCTGGAAGCTGTAGAAGATCTCCCTGGAGCCTGCTCTCCCCTGAGCAGCCCCAGCTCTCTCAGCCAGTCTTTGTGGCAGAGGTGCTCCAGCCCCCTGAGCATCTTTGTGGCCCTTCCCTGTCCCCAGCGCTGGCTGCAGCACCCCAGGAGGGGCAGAGTCCCCTCCTCAGCCTGCAGGTCACACCTGCTGCTCACACTGCTGGTTACACTGCTGGTTACACCTGCTGCTGCTCACATTGCTGCTCACACTGCTGCTCACACTGCTGCTGCTCACACTGCAGGTCACACTGCTGCTGCTCACACTGCTGGTTACACCTGCTGCTGCTCACATTGCTGCTCACACTGCTGCTGCTCACAGTGATGGTTACACCTGCAGGTCACAGTGCTGCTCACACCTGGTGGTCTGAAGCCCAGCTGGGGAATGTTACCCTGGGAGAACACCTCACACTTCAGGGAGGATACCATAGGGAAGGAAGAAACAGAGGAAGTCATATGCTTCTAGCTTTTTTCTTTTTTTTTTTTTTTTTGTATAGGTCCTAGAAGGACAAGGACAAGGACAAGTGTGTCTTCCCAGCTTAGGCGGTCACACTCTTTGAATTGTGCTTCAAATTTAATAAAGTTATTAATAGCTGAGGTACATAAGTAATTGGGTTTTCCATGACAACTCTCTTTCCCGCATATTTTCTGCTGCTCATGCCCAGATATTATAATATTTCACCTGCTGGCTGCAGCATATTTATATTAATTATACAATTAAGGGAGCTGGAAGAATGTAATTTTTAATTTATTTTTCAGTAAAGGGCCACTTATTACAAGGCTTTATGTATATGTGGTTTCATTCCAAGTGTCTAAAACTCTTGTGATTATTCAACAAGCAGATGCAAAGTGGTTATTGCCCAGAGTTACTACTGAGCCATCCTCTCTTGCAAGTGAAATTTTCTCACTCTGTACTTCGAAACCAAAGTAATTTTGCTATTTATGGTGTTTGTGAAGTAATTCTACTATTTAATGTTTATGATATCTTTCCATCTGCCTTTTTTTTGTAACAAAATATGATGAATTTTCAATTGAAGAAATATAGAGATATTTCCCATATTAACAATAGTTTCTACCTTAAGAGTCCATGCTCTGACCTATAAAAAATTCATTGAAGACTGAGAAATTTATTTTAAAATATTTTTATGTGTAGTGCATGTCTGTGTTACAAGTATACGAAAAACAGCATGTTGCTCACTTTAGAGGGGTTTCAAGATGTAAAATAACTTAATAGAATGTGGAAGCTTTTAAGACTATTCTGATCAACATGGGAGTAGCTTGAGCACTTCTTGAATAATTTAATATTGATTGACACTATTCCATTTCACATATTCCTTATAAAGTTCTATGGTAATTTTCTTATTCTGGTGTCACAGCCTTCTATTATGTTTTATTTAATACTAAAGCAGTTTAAACCTTCCCAGTGGAAATTGAACAAACTGATCTGAAGTGTGGCTGTTAGTGCTTTTGATTGTTTAAGAGAGATTTTAAAGTGAAAATTTCATTAAACCCAGATGAGTTTTGCAATTGGGATAGTTACCCTTACTGCTGATTGCAGGTCCATATAGATGAGACACTAGATCATTGCTACATTAACATGAAATTAGGAATAAAATGGTGAATTCCATCTTTCCCATTTTTTTGCTATTAAATTACTGAAATTATGGTTTCTTTTTAATAATCCACAGCAAAGGTGAATTCTTTAAATGAGTTTACACTGAAGGAAAGCAAAGCTATTTTACTTTAAAATTACAATTGCTTGTAAGATCTGAGACACATTATTAAAAGCAAAATGAATGTTATTTGGTGTGGCTTAGGATAGCCTCATGGAGCATGTAAAGCATCTTGTCATTAAGATTCATATTTCCTTAGCTGTTTGGTCTCAAAAGATGCATTTAGGAATTTTTATATATGCTTATGTTTATATATAATATGTTTATAGGAATCACTTCCAATTTTTTCCTAGAAATCACCTGAAAATGAGAGTTGTGGTAGATGCAAATGACCTTCTTTCCTTTGGGAGAGTGTTTTTCATTTTGCTGAGTAATCTCTATACATATTTCAAAAAATAGAATAGTGCTGGCAAATAATACCACAGCCCAATTCAGTTACTTAGCAACTTTTAATGCTAACAAAAAGAAACAGGAAAGTGATGCAGAGGCAATAAAATCATTAGAAAGCAGAAGGAAACTCATGACAATGATGAAGAAAAAACTCATAAGTAAAACAAAAATGGAAAAGAACACATTATCCAAGCAGTTGGTCTTTTTCCAAGGAGTCAGTTGGTTATAGTTTCATTTTTCAGGAAAACACCTACCAACCTATAAAAACAAATTTCAAAACTTGGAGAAAAGCCTCGTCATCTCAGATATTCCTTAATATGTGTTTTTCAGTGTATTACACAGTTCTTCAGAAATTTCTTTTGTGGCTGGCATTGTTTTAAAACTTATCATGGATAGTTCCAAAACAAGAGGTAATGCTACCACTCTTCCTTCATTAAGTTTATTACTCTCCTCAGTGTGAGAGGATAAATAATTTAGTGTGTTAGGGAAACTGTAGATGCATAACACAGCATCTCCCTCCCCAAAGGCTTGGCTGCTGAGGAGCAGGTCCAGCTCAGGAGTGGTGCAGCCCAGGACAGCCCCATTCCCCCTGGGAATGTTGGAGAGAGGCTGCTGACTGTGCCAGGGGAACCAGAC